AGAATTATAAAATATTTTTTTATAAAAAATAATTGAGCTGTCCTTTGGAAAAATGAAGCAGCCAAATTTAGGCCCAATTTCTCTGTAAATTTTTTTAGTTCACCACCTCCCTGAGTCTGATTAAAAGCTGAAAAAGAACATTCATCTTTATCAAGAGATTTAAAAAGAACAGTCATTGACCATAATAAACTCAACTTAGCAGTACTGGAAAGATGAAATGGTTGATGCCAAGCAGAACTATGGAGAGATAAATTTCAACTTTGAAATATCAACTTTCCCTAGTTACATCAGGATATAATAAATCAATCGATACACCTTTCTAGCATGAATGTGAGAAATTATCAGAATACAACACAAAATTGTCTTCCCATAATTCATCAAGGTAGGTCACACTTATGTTGCCTTTCTGTTTACTTTGAGATATGGCAAAGCACCAATCACATTGTCATAGTCACTCCGGCTGACTGGATGCTGCAAACAGGAGTTAAACAAATAGATATATAAGAACTCACTTAGATATTTGAAATTTATGCATAAGGATGCCCCTACTCAAAGCTAATCGAGTTATTTTAGCTGCCTAGGCAGTCCTTTAAGAAAACAAGGAAACATGTCGGTTTATCTTATGAATTACTGCTGCATCTTGAAAATTTAATGCTGATTGAATAAATCCATGACATTTAACTGAATGGTAAACAATGAGCCTTTTTGTTTCAGAATGCATGTGACATTTGTCCCACATAAGCTCGTCATGAATTTCTGAAAATTTCCTTGACTTTCCATCCATGTTTTGCTCATGTTACCAATATGGTTAATGTTAAGCTGATGGCTAAAAGAAAAAGAACTTTATGAGCAAAACTTGAATTTCCAAGCTGATGGCTTTTAAAGCAATAAGTTAGGAATGCATATTCTCCGAATAACCTGCCTAGATATCTTTCTCTATTGTGAAACAATCGATCATGTGCTAGCAAGTTGATTTACCATTTAGGCAAACATTGCTTTTATGATGTTAATGGTGAAGTTACTTAATAACAAAATTTTAAGATTTTAAAGATCTCGGGCATCATTTTATTAACTACTATGGATCTTTCTCTCAACCAAAACAAGAAAGTTGCCCAACCCCTCCCCAAATAAATGGTGAAAAATCAACTTAACTAGAATCCATCATCCATCAAAAACTCTTAAAAGCTAAGCTAATTTTGCCACATCACGGTCATTATATAGAGATTAGAGAAACCTATTGAATGAGACATTACGTCACCCTTTTCCTCATGTATGTCCTAGTCATTAAGTTATTTTCCCCTTGGAACGCACTAAATAAAGAAACCTATTGAATTAGACAGTATGTCAGCCGTTTCTCTATGCAGGAAAGGAAATGTCCAAGTATGAGAAGCAAGAAAGTTTAGAAAACTCCTCACTCCAAAAGCCCAAAAGAAACAAAGGAAAAGAAAATGGTAATATCTGAAAATTTAAAATCAGAGACAATAGACATAGATGAAATTCAACATAGCATGCCAAGAGCACTTTGAAAATTGAAAATAAGAGGCAATAGACTACGGAGCAGGTTCAAATCACAAACCGAATATGGAGATGAGGAATGCAACCACCAAAGAGCCAAAGGGGACAAGAACTTAAACAAAACCAGACACAGAAGACTATTTCTTACACACGAAAATCCTTGCATAAAATTTTTGCCTGTATCTACATTATGAGAACTCAAGATCAAGTGTCTGACATAGAGTATGTGTTCAACATGACTACTTAAGTCTTTTCTAGGGCTTTTGTTTTAGTTCTAACGACCAAAGATTCATTTCAATTCAGATTTCAAGTGTTTGGCACAGGTTAGTTAGGGTAAAGTCAGGACTCAGGAGTCCAACTACCACAGCCCCTTATTTTCAAGATGAAAGACTTCCACTTTAACACTTCAATAATTATAGAAGGAAAATTAATGGATAATTCAAGTTTAATTAACCATCACTTTCTTTTAACAGTGACCCGCTACTTTACATGTCCCATGGATGTTCAGTGCTTTCTGATACAGTGATACACAACACTCCAGTAATTATAACAGCTATTGCAACATAATGTAAATCCATAAGATTGAGATTCTCCTAAACATTCATAGACTACACAAAGCCACAATGAGAGAAGTTTAGTGAGGAAAAATACCATTTTGGAGAGGCGTAATTTTCTCTTGGTGTTCTTTTTAGCCAACAAATGCTGCTTCCCAGCTCTCCTCCTCACTATTTTCCCCCTTCCTGTTACCCTGAAACGCTTTGCTGATGCCTGCCCACAAAAGAATCCCAACACCAGTTCATTAAACCCAAAAGAAATTAAAATCCTTCAGCCAGTTCTGTTGTTTGTAGCTTGTAGCTTGAATCAAATTCATAAAAATTCAATTCCTCCAGAATTCAAAATTCCATCCAAGAATCAAGAATGTTGTAAATGTTTTCTAGAAAGCTAGGTTTTACACTTAAATACAGCAACCAAATTATTGAGGCGCTAGGACTAACCATGAATCAACATAAATCCTAGCCTGATACTTCAACATAATTCCCTTCTTTTCTGAGGAACCAAACAGGACAGAAACAACACATAAAGGTCCCCATATGAAAAGAGAAAGAAAAATACCTTGTGGGTTTTCATTTTGTATCCTTTAGCAGCGTAAACAGTAAGAGATTGGAGTCTCTTAGGGGAGGGAGAAATGGTGCAGAGCTTGTGGGGAAGAAGCGAATGTAACCCAGAAATGCAGCGACTGGAACTAAGTCTCAACGCGTTGGTAACCTTGCTGAAATGGGGGAATTGAACTGCGCTTGGAGCGTGTCGACTTAGAGATGGGGACGACGGGGAAAATCCCAAATTGATAGACGTCAAGGATAAACTCAGAGAAGCCATTGATGAAGAAGAGCAAGTTGAGGAGAGGAAAGGAGAAGAATGGCCTTTCGTTGTGGATATAAGAAAAGAGTGAAATCAGGGAATCACGTCGTCAATCTTTTCTGTAATTTACGGTCGAGGATGTCGCGTCCTCGGGTCCTCATGGGGTAGGTTTATTTCTTAGTACGAATTTCCTTTTTATTTTTATTTTTTATGAATTTCCTTTTTTTTTAGAAAAAAAAAGGGTTATTTTTTCATAGCAAGAAAATGAGCAAACTCATCATCCGATGGCCATCGAATCATCGATGTGGGACAGGTTTTCAATACTTAGGTTCTTTCCTTTCTATTAATAATTATAAAATGTATTATTTAGTAATAAATTAATTGTATATTTTAAAATTTTTAAATAAATGACTTTCTTATAGCTTAATCAAATCAAGCTTAAGTTTGAAAAGAGGTTTTTTGTTTAGTTAATTTATTTTATTTAAATATTATGTAATTCAAATTTAAAATTAAAATATTTTATTTTACTTAAAAGAAAAAAAAATTTTCCCAAGGAAATTGAGAATAAGAGGAAGGAGAAATAAGGATAAAGAGACTTTAACTCACTAACGATTTATTGATTCGAATAAAAAGAGATTAACCTTCCTTAAACAATATTTTAAATTCAAATTTAATGAATAGAGATACAGTTGTCATGGGAGATTTTTGAATTTGATCTAATTCAATTTTAAATTAATCAAAAATCTAATATAATTAATGAATAAGAGGTTAATAAAAAAAATTCCAACTTCGGTGATGTGAGTAAAAAGTCCACACTCAATAGCTACTCAGCCACACACAAAGGTTGTTAGTCACTGTCAAATTGAGATTTTAGAATTACTAAATTTATCATTAATCAAATTTACTCTAAGCTTCAAGCTTTAAAACTTTGATTATTTATGAACTCAAGTTGAAGTTTCAATATTAAGCAATTCAACTTGGCTATGCTTTTACTCTTAACAAACTAATTTAACTTGAGAATTCTTTCAAAAGTATAACTAGATACTGTTCTAGAAGATCAAAACGAAACCACCAATGTCCTTCCAAACAATCCAACAAAGTTAAAACCCTATGATCAACTAGACTTTTTCTTGCAAGATGTAATCCTCTGTTCCATTTCCCCGGACCCTATGAAATCCATATCTACAAGAACATAAAGTTTCGGACAAGTCACTTTGCCAAAATGAAAGAAATGAAAAATGAATTATAAGACTAGTTTTTTTATTTTTCTTTGTTAAACTACAAAACCCTGGTTGATTAATATTATCATCCATTCCACCATTCCCGTTTTCACTCATGCAAGATTATATAAACATCAGTGTTACATAGATCGAAGGAAAAAAAAAGGAAAGGAAGTTGCTCCATTCACCTTCATGAAGGGTGCAACACCAACTGCATCCAATTATGGAACCACATGGCCAGGAGAAGATCCCTCCTTAAGTGAATCGGTTCAAAAGATTTTGGCTTTGGATTCAATTCTTCGTGTTCTTTTCTTGATATCCTGGCCTAGTCAGGATGGCTATAGACTCCCACTCCAAGCTACATATCACATCCTGCATGGGAACATACAGTCAAAAACGCAGTTTCATAACTTCTCAAACTCAAAATACAGGCAAAAAAAAATCACATACAGAAGGGTTCTGTCGATCAATGTCAAAGCTGTTGATTGCACAGGGTTCTGCCAAAAGCTCGATAGGTTCTTCACCTTTGCAGTTGAAAAAAATATACATGTCAATCAATCCTATGGTCATGCGCAACCCAATCTTCTTAGAGAAAACATTACATCAGATTGATTGCAAATTGCAATATAAAATAAAAGTCTCATCCGCAACTATTCACCTATAATAGAAACAATTAACAACTTAAAACTAGTTGCAGTGAGAACAGCCTACCTTGTTCCACGACTGCAAGGATACCACCTTCTGAACACATCATAACAGAAAGGATCCTTGAAGATGAGATGTTGCTAATATTTGAAGACCTCATGTAGCAATCATACTGAACTTCCCAAACCTTGCTTTCAGATAATAAATGGATTGTAGCCCCACCTGTCTCAGTGCCAGAAAGACTGATGGGCTGTTGTGGTATCCGAAGATCCAAGGCAAATACAATTCTTGAAGAGCCTCCTGCCTATAAAACACTTGAGTATAAGAAAATTAACATAAAACTGAACCAATCTGAATATATAGACCTTCACTTGCAGTAAGAAAACTAGCAAGTTAGAAACAATTAAAGAATCCAAAACTGCCATTTTTCAGATTGACAAAAAAAGAACAAAAATTGTAAGAACTTTTCCATAATGGTATCATATGCATTAAGTTAATCCATTTGGTTCTGAAGTTTAACAATTAAAAATTCATAACAAGCTGATATATTTGTAACACATTGGGTAAATTACTTTGGCTGAAATCAACCTTTTGAGAAATTGCAATGCAATACTTCCTCTCTTGCTGAAATACAGAAGAGATGGCGTGTTTTGACTTCATAGGTGGTAGGAGATTGTACTCCCATTTAATAAAATTCATGTTTCTGATTAAAAAAAAAAAGATTCAGTAGAAGAAAGGTATCATGAGCCAAAAGGTTTTGGGTGCATAATCAACAATATGTATCAAGAATCATTTCATATATATTCTAATAAAGCTGTTAAGTAGTTTGAGCACACAACCAGCAACCAAATGCATGCTATGACACCCACAACTGGATAGAATATAACCATATAACAGCAAGCATGATTAGTGTTAGCCATTATTTCTATAATTGCCTCCCATCCCAGTAAGAAGGATCTACACCTCACCATTTTCAACATCACTATGATCATCATTGCTACTACTATCAACAAGACCATTATCAAGGAAGATAGTGGAAAGATTGCAAGATGGCCGGACGCCAATCTTCAACAAAACATTTTAAAGGATATGAGGAAGAAGGAAAGTATAAAGCTTTCCTATCCCAATTTCACCAGTCAAACAAATGACAGTAAAAGGAAACATCAGATGTTGAGCTGAGACCAGCATTCATGCATCAAGAACTGAAATGGATCAAAATAACAACAGAAATGAGAAGCAGCCATCTTACAAGACAAGTGTGCTTCCTTGATGGAGGAATGTCAACAGAGTGTACAATGCCAGAAGTTTTGCCCTGAGACCTGCAAGATAAAGGATATTGAGCTGAAAAAGATACACTAGAACATGGGGGTATATTTCATTTTTTCACAACAGAATTAGTAATATAAATCTATCTTTCAGACCAGAAATTCTTCTATTAATTCACATTTAAGAACCTCAAATCACTCACCAATTCCCCTTAAACTGAGTAACTGGGCCACCGGTCCTCCTCTGATCCCACCACTGAATCCCAAAACCATAGCAACCGGTAACAAACTCGGTTGCGGAAGCCCACTTCACCGCAGTGTATCCTACCAACCCATTCCCATCAAAAACCCTGCAATAATTCAGCCTAGAAGAATTCCCACCCCAACACTAACACACTCATTCTCACCATCCCGCAAATCCACCCTAGTCAGAGGTCCCTCGAGGAACCCAGACTCTGCCACTGACGCCTCCGACACAATCACCGCTCCATTTACTGAATAATGTGGGGAGAACCCACGACAGTGGAAGCGGCAAGGATGGCTCTGAGAGAAGTTTGTCAAAGGCAGAAACCGGCGGGAGCCATCGGACTGCGGTAATCTGTAAACTTGTGGGGGGTCTTACGTTCCTGTAATGGCCATGGTTAGCGGGTTTATGGAATTCTGAGTGTTCTGCTTTCTCAGTGTGGGAGGGAACTCCCCTGAAAAGTGTGTGAAATTCCTACACTGCCATTCTGATTTAAGCGTTTTATGTGTAAGTCTGCTGCTGGGGACCATGGGGTTACTAGGAAGAAATGAGAGAAAATGCCAGTCATTCATGACACCTTAATCTTCAAAAGCTCTGTTTCTTATTTTATTTTGAGGGAAAATGAAGGAAAAATTTTCAGCATAATGGCCAAGAAGATGGATTTCTCTGAGAATTCAACTACCCAGCAACAAACAACGAAAACCCATTTTCCCTTTAAGGTTCCTAACATAATTCTAGCTCGATCTGTAGTTACAGTTTGGATTGAGATTCATCAATGCAGGGTAATCCTTTGATGTTTTGAATATCCCAACTTTCTGGATTTTTTTCTCCGGTGGATCTATAATATAACAGAATTCAAATGTTCAGATAGAGTGGGAGACTGGTCAAGGATTAGGGTAATCTCAAAGGAGACTGAAAACTTGTTAAAAGTCGCTGCCTTTGTGGTCCTTCTTCTGTATTTTTCTGTTATTTATTTTCTTTCTCCAAAGAAACAGAGGCTTGAACTTTCTTACAGCCAGTAAAATTCTGATCTTCAAGCAATGCATGTTGTATTGTATCGCCATCAATCCACTATGAATTGAGATGATATAGAGATTGGCTATGGCTCCTCAAATTTCTGCACTTGAAAACAAAATCTTCATCTCATTTGGAATTTGGATAATGTAGAAGAACATCAAATTATGGCCTCACGTTTGCAGGCTAACAATGACAAACTGTTGCAGACAAGTTGATGGATTTAGTACCTGATTTTGCTACAGTTAACTGCTGAAGTTAAATTGAGATGAAAATAGCATTAAATGCCAATCGATAGTTTTTCTCATTCTTTTTTTTTCCCCCTCTGTTGGGTTTATATCTTCTGATAAGAAAGTTTTAACAACCAAATTAATTGACACCAAAAGAAAAGACTATGACTTTGCTTTTACTATTGTCCCGGAAAAAGGTAGTAAAGAACCTAGAAAATTCTGAAAAATTCGCTGTATCAATGGAAAGGAAGAAGGGGAAATTTACGGTAGAAGGATGCAAAAAGATCTTTTATTTTCCTCTTCAATATGCTTGTTTCTTTGTATCTGCTTGCTTTTGCAGAATGAAGGGATATGTAACAAATTCCTCTTATCTCCTGGTCCATCTTCACATCTTGTCTTTCATCTTACAAGGGTCTGGGACACCACAAAACACATCTATCAATTAACTTGAAACTTTTTCTCTTTTAATCACTATTAGTTATACCAGGTGGGTGGAACTCCACACTCAAAATTAAAGGTTTTTATTTTTATTTTTTAATTTAAACAGGTTGAAAAGGAGTTAAGGAATGAAAAGTTATCACTTATTATAGTTGTATCACACATTATAATAAAAATAGTTATTTTGTTTTAAAATATAAGTCGTTTGATTTAATTATATGTATTTTTATAAGAAGTATTTTATTTATCTAAAGATTTTTTATGATATATAAGATGATAAACAATATAATAAATTTTTTTAAAATTTTTCTTCATTCATTTAAAAATTTTAAA